AAATGATCTAAAAGTTTGTTGAAAATACAAAATTATCCATCTTTAGATCACATTTTTTGTCACTTCCAAAAAAATCTAAAAAATAGGAAAAAATAAAACCAATCCCCTTCCCTTCAAACAACAGTCAAATCTCCATCGCCAGAGAGGGAGAGATATGTGAAGGATTGTTCATGGATTCTCTCTTCAACTTTCCACCAATATAAGGGAGGTGATACCCATCAAGCACCACCCTCTCCCTTGGTGGTTATCCTCGTCCATCTATCCGATCGAAATGCCTGCTACCAACACAAAACCCATTCGGCGTCAATAGAGGAAGAACATCGAACGAAAGGCGTGAATCGAACCAAACTCATTTCGGTGTCAATGAATTCTCTCTCTCCAAAGATTTCTCTCATTTGCTATGGGTCTTGGGAATTTTACAGCAACCATGGTGGATAAAGGTAGTAGATGACATTTGCAATGGACTTCTTCTTTCTTGGTTTTCTCTTTTCTTTTTGGTTGGTTGGTATCAGGTGGGTGTTGTTTGATTTGGTAGCTGTTGGTAGTAGTGGTAGTTGCTTGGTGAAGGCTGTGTTGGGGGGCAGCGGTGGTGGTGTTGATTGCTTGGTGAAGGCTATGTTGGGGACGGTGGTGGTGGTTGATGGAGCTGATCGTCGAGTTGAGCAAAGGAAAGAGAAAGAAAAAAGAAAATTGATTGGGTGTCAATAAAGTCTCAAGGGTACAAAAATTATTTTACAAACTTTCTTTGACTAATCATATAATTTAGTTCATTTAAAACTTGAAAGGGATAAATTATTAAAATTAAAACTAGAAGAGATCGATTGCAACATGACCCAAATTTAAATGGGATAAATCGTAATTAACCCTAATTTATTATTCTATATTTTCCATTTCTATATTCACCTAATATCCATGACTTCCTTTGCCCAAAATTGACAAATAATTAGAATTTTTAGTGAATCAAACAATTCAAACCCCTTAGATTTCTTTTCCTTTTTTGGTTCAATAATTAGGAATGTCCGAATCAACTTACACACAAAATTGACAAATGATTAGAATTTTTAGTGAATCAAACCCCTAAAATTTTATTTTTTTTTTTGTTCAAGATGTCCAAATCAACTTAGACCTAACTTACCTTACCTGATCAACTAAATTTCAAAATAATGAACAAAAAACTGAGAGCATTTTTGTTTCGCTTACCAACAGTGGCAGATTTGAAGAGGGTAGTGCCTCCTCCAACACTCTTGCTTCCTGTAATAATAGTCTTCCCAATACCATCACCCAATAACATAATATTCTTCAACTTGTTTCCTATATTAACACTCTCCTGGTAAGTCCCTGCTTTCACATAAATCACATACCTCCCACTTCCCGACCGCTTCGATGCGGCGGTGATGGCCTCATTTATCGTCTTATAGTTCCCGGACCCGTCTTGTGCCACCACAATGTTGGCCGTAGGAACCGGTGATGCTGATTGTAAGAGTTTCCGGTCACCGGAAGAGACCCAACTCGGGAACCCTTCTTTGTAACTCGGGCCACTGGGCTCGCCATATGGGTCTTTGTTCATGGCCAAAGTGTTGCTGATCAAGGAAGAGACATTGTTTGACATTAAGGGCATGACATAGTCTGTAACCCCAAGCTCCATGAACCCGGTTTTGCAGGTTTCGAGGTTGGTCAGGGCTGTGCTGAGCCATGTCTGAGCATCAACTTGGCTGCATTTAGTGTTTGGATCAATAGTTTTGTTGAGTTTCTGAATTGTGTAATCGTAGAGCTCAAGACAATCAGCCCATGCAGCCTTTTCTCTCTCATCCCGGCACTTTGAGCCGAGGCTATAAGAGTTGGTTTGGGCATGCATGGCCCTGTCTAGGGCTAGTTGCAATGAGAGCTTGAAAAAATCAGATTTTTGTTTGATCGGACGGCCATATTTAGAGTCATGAGCCAAGAAGTACTCACAGGGTTGAGGGTGGGGGGTTTTGCCGCACCATGATTTTATGTCCTCGGCCGGTGGGTATCTGCAAATGGCCGGAGAAACGAAGAGGGAGAGAGAGAGAAGGGCTAGAAAGAATTGAATTAGCCCCATTGTTGAAAGGTGATGACAAAGAGCTTTTTGAAGACTTGAGCGGTGGAGAAAATACTTCCAATTGGTTGGTTTATATAGACGGGAAACAAACGATTGTGTGAGACGGGTATTATTGATAGGGACGACAAAGAATTTTATAAGTCCATATTTAATACTTATGGAAAGAGTAATGCTAGATTAATCAATAGTGAGACCCAAAAACAAAGAAAAAATTTTATCCATTATATAATGTTGTCACACTGAGATGATGTAACCGTCTAATGATATGATGACAATTGGGTAAATAAATTCCACATAATTAAATAACTATCCATCCATGTTATACAATAACCACCCACCATGTGAAATTCATGTGCCTACTTATTATTGGATGTTTACATTATGTCAATATAATGACATGGTATAACCGTTGTAATAAATATTTTTTCAAAAAAAAAAAGCATTAGATGATGCAATATTGACAACGGTTTTAATCTTATTTTACTTAAAACTTATAAGTTTACTCAATATATTAATGTCACGTCATTTGATCTCTTTTTTAGTAATTACCCTTATCGAAATAAGTTATTATTTAGAAACTACAAGTGTAACATTAGAAAATATAATTCATATAAATTCCAGAATTCACACACACACACACACACATATATATATATATATGAGCTGTTTTAATGGGTGTTGACTTGAGATCGAGGAAATTAAGGGGGGTACGAAACGCGTTTATGACATTTTCACATGTGAATGTAATTAATGGATGGAAAACCATTGTGTGAGAACCTACACTTATTGGTAGAGTTCTAACTCTAACTCCCCGTTTTTATAGTTGGGACCATGTTGATTTGATCTATGGTCAAATACTTGGCTCCTTAATGACCTTTACATTTTCTAATCTATCTCGCATGAAAAAATGGATACCATGTACGAGACCGACCCTTGTTATTGTGAGGTTTGAAAAATGATAGATTTATGTAGGTTTTGCATGTGAACGAAAAGACCATTTTTGTCGTTGTTAATATTTAAACCCGTGTAGCCCAAGTCAATTGAACAAAACCCTATGTGCTAAGCGGCACTCCATTTAGATGACTTATATTTTTTGTATTTATTATTTGCATCTACTTTGTGATTTTATTTATTGATCTAAAGCATTACAATCATTGAATTGATAGTAAAGTTTTAATAAATAATGTGATCCACTGTCTATCTAAAGTGTGTTTAACTCAGCAAATTAGATTCAAGTAGTATTGCTCTAATATTTTATTGTATTATTTTTTTTTGTTCAACGATAAAGGGTGTCTAAACTAGTTTGAATGCATAAAGACTAATTTTCTTCCCGGTCTAATCAAAGACAAATTATCCAGGCCGAGATTAAGGTATTTATAAGAGATAAATCTCTCATGCAGGTGGTCTTAAGAGATTGTTGAGATTTAAACTAAATACTGTTAGAACGGAAATTCCAAGAGCCGTTGACAGCATGTATGCATCAAATATCAAAAAATTTTCTTTAAAACCCTACAAAGCGGAATTAGGATTTATCTTCGAGATCCCTCGGGATTGATTTCATCTCAGCACAAACGCAGAACCGAACAACGAACAACTGAAAGACAGTTTGACGAATCTCGCGGCCTTCTGTCGTGTATTCCCAAACGTCAGAATTCAGATGAGACCTCCAAATAATTTCTCTCTCTTTCAGCTTCTCTCAAAAACGTCAGTAAAGAATAGATGCTGAATTAAAAAGCCTAGATGTCTATATATAGGTTACAACAGAAACTCTAAGGAAAAATAAGAATCGGGTTTCCAATGGGATTATGATTCCTATGTTCAACCCATAACAAACATCATACAACATATTAATAATAAGTCAGTTACTAAAGACTTATTATTGATCTCTTGAGTCTTATCTTAAAATTATATTCGAACTCCTTATTATTATGTGTTTAATAATCTCCCTACGTTTAAGACTACAGATGTTCATTAATTAAATAAAATATTGGTAATCATATTTAATTAATTTCTTTTATTCCTTGAGATCTTACCACTCAACTTATTTGTCATGTCAGATAATTGGATCCACCTCCAGGGTTTGACATGAACAAAACTTATGAGTTTCATCAAGAGGACATCATCAACCTATTTAAATACTAGGACGTGATTTTTTTTAATAATTAATTTTTACCGTACAAATAACATCGTCTTCCAATTTACCGAGTTTATTAACTCAATATGAATCTCACCATTTAATGAATTAAAGTGACAAATATTATATGCACGTGGTAATTAAGTATTTTAGGATTAAGAGCATAAACAATCATAATAATCATGAGACATTTGTTATCTTATTATTTCAGTAAAAAGATAATAATCTCAACATTGGTCTGTTCAATATACAAAATGTACTAGTGCAATAATTTTAGACATTAAACAGTCGTCTACAGTCAAGAAAGACTATGTCATAATATTACACTACAATCATACTGATAGCGTGTCCAATTCCATCTAGGTTTGTGAATATCTATATAATAAAATAGAGGTGAGTTTGAATTTTGAAGACAAAGAGAGATCCAGATCATTTTGAGACAAAACATAAACATATCCAACAAATATCATAATCCCAACATAAAAGACGGTTCAGATCATCTCGAAAATTTTGATTTAACGGTCTACAGTGAGTACTGAATTTTGTTTTCTTGCCCAACAATATTTAAATGAAGCTACCTCTCTCTTTCTCTTCAAATCCGAGGATTTTTTATCTTCTTTCCTTATCATAATCTCTCTATGATCTTTGATTCTTATCAGACGATCTTTACCCATTTCTCCTTTCTCTTCCAACGCAATTGATATCTTCCCCAATACTCTATTGTTCCCTCTCTCTTGCTACATTGCTCAGGTACGCCCCCTCTCTATCTCTCTTTCTCTCTCTCACACACACACACTCACTGTTAACACAAACCAGCACCGATTTGGATTTTATTAGAAGCCATCAACACACGTCTTTCTTCTCTCTCTCTCTCTCTCTCACACACACACACACACATTGTTAACACAAACCAACACCGCTCACCCACTAGTGAATGCTTGAAACATACCAACACATGTTTGTCTTATCTCTCTCAATCGCTACCACTTTCTTCTCTCTCTCTTTCTCTCTCCTATTGTGCGTGTGTTCTCAATTTTTGTGTGTCTGTGTGTTCGTGTTTGTGTGTTTATGTGAGCATTCGTTAATGTTCTTAGCCCTCTCTCCCTTGCTAATTCTTTCTCTCCGCTACTCATCCACAAGCATCATCTCACATAGGTACACACTGCTTATCTCTCTGTCTTTGTCTTTGTCTTTGTCTCTCTTTGCTTCTATATCAAAGGTCTTCAACACAATGCCCGGGAGGTGTTCTACCAAATGCCAAAGAGGTAACCAAATGCCCCTAACTTCTGTGCACCAATACTCTCTACGCACACAAACACACTCTTAGCCGCTGCCCTCTCTCTCACTGCATCTTCTCTCTCTCACTGTTATTGTCGGAACTTCCCCACAGTCATACCCACCCACCTGATTTTACACACACCATCCTTATTTTTTGGCCTTTCTAATTTTCTATCGTAAGGCTTTCAGTGAGACTTATTACAAAGGATTTCAAAAACCTAAACCCCTACTTCCCTAATATTGATCTCTAGATTCGAGCTCTAACCATGGGATAGGTATGTTGGTTTGTTGTATGGTATTTTGAAATTGGGTCTAGGGTATTAGTGAAATTGATTAGGCTACCAAATGTTATGTTTAATTAATCCTTGTTTGATCTAAAGCAGCTTTTCTTATGGAGATCTATAAGAGATCCAAGTGTGGGCAATATGGTCATGGAAGATGATGACCCTGAAGGTTACTTCAAGTACCACAATTCTGATAGCCCCTCCTTTAATTTTTTCTCTATGTTATGTTTTTGTGAATTTGGTTGTTAAAATATGGGTTTCTATTGTTGTAGGCTACTATTTCTTCACATTGGTGGATGTAACAAATTTGTACGATTGAGATTGCATGCACTAAATGTTTTATTGAGTAGATCGGCTTCGCCTTGATCAGGTAAAATAGTGCATGGTTGAGAGTGGCATGATAAGAATGTTCCAATTTTTTAAAGTAATACTTCAAGGTGCTCCGACTTGAATTGGTTTGCATACCATTAAAATTGATACTTCAAGGTGCATGTAATAAATATCCAAATGAAAATCATAAAATCTTGGTGATAATTTATGAGAGAATGGTGGATACTTTCTATATGTTACTGGTGCCCACCACTTGATGCCCACAATTTGTATTATGTTCTTTTGGGTAAAAAAATCGTTTTATGTTGCTTTTGCATTTTACTTACTAGATATTCACTCTTATTGTAATTTATTGTCCCTTTCATGAATGTATTGGCATGACAATTATTTACTTATCTCTGTTTATTGAAGATTATGACCAGATCAACAGCCAGTTAGTGACCTCTTCCTCCCCAACTTCGTCCTCAACCATCTAGCATTGACATATGAGAGGTGACCTCATGGGATATATAAAAGTCAATTCTAGGATATATTTTTAGCTTTAGTTTATTATGCATTTTTAGCTTTTACGTGTGATATAAATTTTGCTTGCTTTAGAATATGTTTTCAACTTTAGGACTAAAATGAAACATGAATGCCAAATAGGTGCATTTAGTGTATGACTACTTTGAATGGGAGATTGAACATCGATGAATGTAGTTACTTGCTGATTTTCTTAGCCATGAATTGGTTCCATTCTGAATATTTGGTAAATGGTGCACTTTGGAATCTTACTCTTTTTATTTGGCTCAAAATAATGTTGACTTTTTAATGGATGAAATTTCCAGGATCATCAATTGCAAATGTACACTGTTTGGTAGAGTAGTATTTTATTTTTATATATATTTTTCAGTTATAACTTTGCTTTACTGTTGCGGCTTTAACATTGCTCTGTTTTCACAATGCTTATGGTATTATTTTTCTTTCTACAGTTG